GCTGGGATTACAGGTGCTCACCAGCTCGCCCTACTAGTTTTGGTATTTTTTAGTAGAGACAGGGTTTCACCATGTTGGCCAGGCTGGAATCAAACTCCTGACCTCAGGTGATCCACCCCCTTCGGCCTCCCAGAGTGCTGGGATTACAAGCGTGAGCTACTACACCCAGCCTATGTTTTCTTTAGTTGTGTAATGTATAAAGAAATTAATGAAATATAAAGCAAAAATGATCTACCTAAAGGAAAGCTCCATGTCACATTTTCACTAAACTGTTTGTCTCTTCAGTTCTATACATTAGGAATAAAACTTCAACCATTCAACCATTTGAATGTTTTCTTCCTTTTTCGTTTTCTGCATGTGTCTGTGATATTCTAAGCTCTGGAATTTAAAAAAATAAATAAAGGAATAGTCTGAATAATAAAAGTGAGAATTGGAATAGAAAATGCATTATAGCTTGCTGTTGTGTGTTAAGTAAAAAGAACAATGATTCTCAGTTTTGATCCTGTCTCAACCACTCTTTCTTTTTTCTTTTTCTTTTCTTTTTTCCTTTTTTTTTTTTTTTTTTTTTTGAGACAGCATCTCGCCCTGTCACCCAGGCTAGAGTGCAGTGGCATGATCTCAGCTCACTGCAACCTCCGCCTCTCAGGTTTAAGGGATCCTCCTGCCTCAGCCTCCTGAGTAGCTGGGTTTACAGGCACACGCCACCACGCTAGGCTAATTTTTGTATTTTTAGTTGAAACAGGGTTTTGCCATGTTTGCCAGGCTGATCTCGAACTTTTGACCTCAGGTGATCCACCTGCCTCGGCCTTCCAAAGTGCTGGGATTACAGGTATGAGCCACCGTGCCTGGCCTCAACCACTCTTTTAGGCCTTGTATCAACATTATAACACAGAGTTCCCATACTTTCACAAATACCACATTCTGACATGCAAAGGAAAAAAGAAACTTATCTGGAATCAAAAGATATTTGAATTTTCTTTTCTTTTCTTTTTCTTTTTCTTTCTTTTTTTTTTTTTTTTTTTGAGACGGAGTCTTGCTGTGTCCCCTACGCTGGAGTACAGTGGTGCGATCTCTGCTCACTGCAACCTCCACCTCCCGGATTCAAGCGATTCTCCTGCCTCAGCCTCCTGAGTAGCTGAGATTATAAGTGCCTGCCACCACGCCCGGCTAAGTTTTGTATTTTTAGTAGAGACGGGGTTTCACCATGTTGGCCAGGTTGGTCTCGACCCCCTGACCTCAGGTGATCCACCTGCCTCGGCCTCCCAAAGTGCTGGAATTATAGGTGTGAGCCACCATGCCCACCCTGAATTTTCTTTTGTGCTATCCTTCCTCCATATAAACATACCCTTTGTGGCCAGAAGTACAGATCTGTAATATAAATATATGTTAGAAGAGTCAGCATATACTTATGGGGGGGGTGCAAAGTACTTAAGTCTCTACTCACAGTCTATGTATAGCTCTTAGCACAGGATACTTATATGTGGAAGGGTATGGTGTAAGTAGGGCCCAACAGGATTTGAGCTTCCATGTATTCTGTGATTCTTCTGTCTCTGACCTCTCAGGTGCTTTCCTTGAGCATAAAATGTTGACATTTGGAAGAGAAAAGAAAACCCCTTTATTTGCTACTTTTTAGCTGCTGAGAATGAAGTCTGAAGGGAGGGAGGCTTAAACAATCTGAAACATACATGTTTCCACTTACTGGCAGTGTATAAATACATAAAAGAGAGGTGGTACCAGTTGACACCTTTCATTGCAGTTCCTACGATAACTCATTGAATCACCAGATAAGTTTTCTCTGCATTGACAGCACAAATGATGTTATAGGTTTGTTTTGCTTTTTAAAATAAAAGGATTAAAAGTCTTTTAATGGGAAAAACCAGCTGTTTTAAAACTATGTTCTCTGAGGATTCTGGACTCAGCAATTCCTCTAGCTGCATTTGAAAACTATGTAGATGGCCTGGTGTGGTGGCTCATACCTGTAATCCCAGCACTTTGGGAGGCCGAGGCGAGCAGATCACGAGGTCAGGAGATGGATACCATCCTGGCTAACACGGTGAAACCCCGTCTCTACTAAAAATACAAAAAATTAGCCAGGTGTGGTGGCAGGCGCCTGTAGTCCCAGCTACTCCGGAGGTGGAGGCGGGAGAATCTCTTGAACCCCAGGAGGCGGAGGTTGCAGTGAGCCGAGATGGCGCCACTGTTCTCCAGCCTAGGTGACAAAGCAACACTCCATTTCAAAAAAAAAAAAAGCTATGTAGATAAGGCTATGGAAATAATTTTAAGTGGTTTAATAATCCCTATATGATCTCTTTGCAAATGCAACTTTTCTATTGAATAGCAAGCTGCTAGAAGAAAGGAACAATATTTGATGTATTTGTCAGAAGAAATATGTAAAGGGTGTGCTGATAATGAATGCTGTTCTACTATTTTTAAAGCCTGTTTTCTATTCTCTTTACAGGCAGTGGTTGATGCTTGCAAACTAATGGGGGAAAGGAAATTTCACCGTATAATTGTGGAAGATGAGCGTATTTTCCCAAAGTCCAAAGTAACTGATATAATGGATGTTGTCACCATGCAAGATTATATACAAGTAAGGAATTTAGATTTAGATGTTGAAAAACAAACCAAGCAAGTCTTCCTAACTCTGTCCTCCAAGAAGAAAGAATCATACTTTTTTATTATGGTAAAATATAACACAATATAAAATTTACTATTTTATTATGTTTTATTTTATTTTTCAAATATATTCTATAGAATGAAACTTATTTTTGGATACCCAAGCACTAGAACTTCCTTTTTAAATTTTTTTAAATTCAACTTTTATTTTAAGTTCAGGGGTGCATGTGCAAGTTTGTTATTGTATGTAGGTAAACTTGTGTCAAGGGAGTTTGTTGTTCAGATTATTTTGTCACCCAAGTATTAGGCCTAGTACCCATTAGTTATTTTTCCTGATCCTCTCCCTCCTCCCACCCTCCACCCTCTGGTAAGCCCCAGTGTGTGTTTTTCCCCTCTATGTGTCCATGTGTTGTCATCATAAAATTGACCATTTTAAAGTGTACAATTCAGGGGCATTAAGTACATTCACAGGGTTGTGCAAGCATCACCACCATCTAGTTCCAGAACCTTTTCATTATCCCAAAAGGAAACCCTGCATCCAGTAAGCAGTCACGCTCCATTCCTGCATCATTCCAGCCCCGTAAACTACCACTCTGCCTTCTGTCTCTATGGATTTGCCTAATCCGAATATTTCATATAAAGGAAATCATGTGATATATGGCTTTTTGTATGTAGGGAGGGTGATAGCTAAGGAATTTGGGGGTTCTTTTGGGGTGATGGAAATATTCTGAAATATTCATAGGACGTGGTAATAGTTGCACAACATTGTGAATATACCAAAAACCATTGAGTTGAGTTGCATACCTTTTTTTTTTTTTTTTTTTTGAGACGGAGTTTCGCTCTTTTCGTCCAGGCTGGAGTGCAGTGGTGCAATCTCAGCTCACTGCAACCTCTGCCTCCCAGGTTCAAGCAATTCTCCTGCCTCAGCCTCCCAAGTAGCTGGGATTACAGGCGTGCACCACCATGCCCAGCTAATTTTTTTGTATTTTTAGTAGAAACGGGATTTCACCATATTGGCCAGGCTGGTCTTGAACTCCTGACCTCCGGTGATCCGCCCGTCACAGCCTCCCAAAGTGCTGGGATTACAGGCGTGAGCCACTGCACCTAGCCGATACTGTGTTTTCACAAATGGAAGGTTTGTGGCAAACCTGCATCAAGCAAATCTATCGGTGCCTTTTTTCCAATAACATGTGCTTGCTTTGTGTCTCTGTGTCACGTTTTGGTCACTCTTGCAATATTTCAAATGTTTTCATTATTATTATATCTGTTATGGTGATCTGTGATCAGTGATCTTTGATGTCACTATTGTAATTGTTTTGGGGTACCACAAACTGAACCCATATAAGATGGCAAACTTAACCAATAAATGTGTGTGTTCTGACTGCTCTACCAACCAGCCATTCCATTATCTCTCTCTCTCTCCCCTCTTGTCTCTCTATTTTCTGAGACACAACAATATTGAAATTAGGCCAATTAATAATCCTACAATGGCCTCTAAGTGTTCAAGTGAAAGAGTCACGCGCCTCTCACTTTAAATCAAAAGCTAGAAATGACGAAACTTAGTGAGGAAGGCATGTCAAAAGCTGAGATAGGCCAAAAGCTACACCTTTGCACCAAAGAGTTAAACGTGTTGTCAATGCAAAGGAAAAATTTATGAAGGAAATTGAAAGTGCTACTCTAGCAAATACATAAATGATAAGAAAGCAATACAGCCGTATTGCTGATAGGGAGAAAGTGTTAGTGGTCTGGATAGAAGATTAAACCAGCCACAACATTCTCTTAAACCAAAGCCTAATCCAGAGCAAGGCCTTTGCTCTCTTCAGTTCTGTGAAGGATCAGAGAGGTGAGGAAGCTGCAGAAGAAACTTTGGAAGCTAGCAGAGGTTGGTTCATGAAGTTTAGGGAAAGAAGCCATCTTTATAACATAAAAGTGCATGGTGAAGCAGCAAGTGCGGATGGAGAAGCTGCAGCAAGTTATCCAGGAGATCTCGCTAAGATAATTGTTGAAGGTGGCTGCACTAAACAACAGATTTTCAATGTAGACAAAACAGCCTTATACTGTTGGAAGGTGCCCTCTTGGGCTTTCACAGCTAGAGAGGAGAAGTCAATGGCTTCAAAGGACAGGCTGAGTCTCTTGTTAGGGGCTGATGCAGATGGTAACTTTAACTTATTAAAGTCAGTTCTCATTTACCATTCTGAAAATTTTAGGGCCCTTAAGAATTATGCTAAATCTGGCCGGGCACAGTGGCTCAGGCCTATAATCCCAGCACTTTGGGAGGCCAAGGCGGGCAGATGACTTGAGGTCAGGAGCTCGAGACTAGCCTGGCCAATATGGTGACACCCGTCTCTACTAAAAATACAAAAATTAGCCGGGCATGGCGGCACATGCCTGTAGTCCCAGCTACTCAGGAGGCTGAGACAGGAGAATTGCTTGAGCCCGGGAGGTGGAGGTTGCAGTGAGCTAAGATTGCACCACTGCACTCCAGGCTGGGCAACAGAACAAGACTCTGTCTCAAAAAAAAAAAAAAAGAAAAAAGAAAAGAAAAGGAATTATGCTAAATCTACTCTGTATAGAGTAATTATATAGCCTGTGCTCTATAAATGGAATAACAAAGCCTGGACGACAGCACATATATTTACAGCATGGTTTACTGAATATTTTAAGCCCCCTGTTGAAACCTACTGCTCAGATCAAAAAAAAAAAAAAAAGATTCCTTTCAAAGTATTACAGCTCATTGACAAGGCACCTGGTCACCCAGGAGCTCTGATGGAGCTGTACAAGAAGATGAATATCTTCATGCCTGCTAATACAACATCCATTCTACAGCCCATGGATCAAGGAGTAATTTCAACTTTCAAGTCTTACTATTTAAGAAATACATTTCATAAGGCTATAGCTGCCATAGACAATGATTCCTCTGATGGATCTAGGTAAAGTAAATTTTAAAAATCCAGAAAAGATTCACCATTCTAGATGCTATTGAGAACATTCATGAGCTGGGCACGGTGGCTCATGGCTGTAATCCCAGTACTTTGGAAGGCTGAGATGGGAGGATCTCTTGAAGACAGTTTGAGACCAGCCTGGGCAATATAGGGAGACCCTGTCTCTACAAAAATTACCCCCCCAAAATTAGCCAGGTATGGTAGTATGCCCCTATGGTCCCAGCTACTCAGGAAGCTGATGTGGGAGGATTGCTTTAGCCATGATTGCACCACTGCACTCCAGCCTGGGCGACAGAGTGAGACCCTGTCTCAAAAAAAAAAAAAAAGCCACATCCACCCCAACCTTCAGTAACCAGTACCCTGATCAGTCAGCAGCCATCCACATCAAGGCAAGGCTCTCCACCAGCAAAAAGAATAGGACTCACTGAAGGCTCAGATGATCATTAGCATTTTTTAGCAATAAAGTATTTTTTTTTTCTTGTTGTGGAGATGGGGCCTTGCTATGTTTGCCAGGCGGGTCTCAAACTTCTGGACACAAGTGATCCTGTCAGCTCTTCCTCTGTAAGTTCTGGCATTACAGGCATCAGCCATTGTGCCCAGCCACAACAAAGTATTTTTGAATTAAAGTATGTACATTTTTTTGAAATAATGCTGTTACACACTTAACAAACTACAGTATAATGTAGACATAACTTTTATACGCACTGGGAAACCAAAAAATTAGCATGACTCTATTTGCAGTATTCACTTTATTACTGTGGTCTGCAACTGGACCCGCAATATCTCTGAGGTATGTCTGTATACAGTCTTAACTATTCACTCATTTGCTTCAGTGTGAAGCATGAAATTAATGCAATGCCTTAGAGACTCCCAATTATGTTTTTCTTTTAGAGTCTTAGCCTATGAGTTTAGGGAAGTGAACCAGGAAATAAATAGAGCCAGGGATGGCAACTATCTTTGCTAAGGACAAAGACCACATACTTTCAGATTGTGAACATGTCAAGGATTAGTGTCAGAGAGAGGAGTGCCCAGATAGACATATTGGAAGAGAGGGATAAGATCATTGTTGACGTTTGTTGAGTCCTTATACGGGTGTGGCACTGTCTTTATCTCTTTACATGCATATTATCTTCTTTCATCTTCAAGTTTGTAAATTATGTGACCTTTTTTTACAAAAGAGAAAAATGAAGTTTAACAAGCCTCAAAAAAACTTGCCTGAGGTCACAGACAGATCTGCTAAGTGACTGCGCAGATGATTGACAGAGCTATGATATTTACCCATTTTGCAACTTCACTGAGGAAAAAAAAAATACACAGTCTTACTTTGCATGTCATTGCAGGACCATAAAAATGACCAGCAAATTGAAACCATGCAAAACAAACTTAATATCTGGGGGGAAAATTGTGATTGTCCTGTGACTTTTCAAAATGTTTGTCTGTAGTCCCAGCTACTCGGGAGGCTGAGGCAAGAGGATCACTTAGGTCTGGGAGTTTGAGGGTAGCCTGGGCAACATAGTGAGACCCCATCTCTAAAAAAAAAAATCTTCTTTATCAAAACATTAAAAACTCTTTTGCTGTCTCTTATAAATACGTAGGAAAATGGAAGGAAAAAACCCAACACATTTAGTACACTATAATTTAAAACATTAGAAACACAGACAAAGTGTTTTGTTTCTTCATAAAATATCTTACCAACTGTGAATATACTGGAAACCATTGAATTGTACACTTTAAATGGTGGATTGTATGGTATGTGAACCTCAATAAAGCTGTGAAAAAAAAAAAACTTACCAAGAGTACTTTAAATAGTGCTTGCCTTCTTGTTCTTCTAGTACCACTTATAAGCATCTTTTCTATGTCTTGGTGTATTGTCATATTCCTTTTAAAATTTGGATCAGCTGCCAACATTTTATTCTTTGCGCTTTAAATGTTGCAAAATATCTCAGAGTTCCTTCAGTATGAAGTTTTTTTTTGGCCAGCATCATTTCCACTGGGAAAGCTTCATCCTTTTATCACAGCCACTTTCCTCATTTATGTTGATAAGTTCATCCTCACCAAGTTCCTTTAGCTGTAGATCTGCAACGTCTTGAATGATGGCAGTGTCAGCATCCCCACAGTCACCTATTCTGGAACTCCATGTACGGTTGATTCCAATTTCACTTCAAGTGGTACCACTTTTTGTTTCTTTGATGGCCAATTCCCTCTTTTGATTTTCCATTTTTGTAAAATGTCACATGGGTTTATCACTGGGAGACAAAAAGGCAACACAACTGTATACTTTGCTGTTTGTGTGTGAAATGAATAACAGATTCACAGTGACCAGTCACTGATTGACTTTGGAAGCTATGACATGATTTGTCACTAATCATGATGAACATCTGTCATTTATATTGTGATCTTTGAGCTGAAGAGCTAGCAACAGGAGGCCGGGCATGGTGGCTCATGCCTGTAATCCCAGCACTTTGAGAGGCTGAGGTGGGTGGATCACCTGAGGTCAGGAGTTCGAGACCAGCCTGGCCAACATGGTGAAACCCTGTCTCTACTAAAAATACAAAAATTAGCCGGGCCTGGTGGCACACGCCTATAATCCCAGCTACTGGGGAGGCTGAGGCAGGGGAATCGCTTGAACCCAGGAGGCGGAGGTTGCAGTGAGCCGAGATTACGTCACTGCACTCCAGACTGGGTGATAAAGCAAGACTCCATCTCAAAAAAAAAAAGTTTGAAAAGGCCGGGTGCGGTGGCTCATGTCTGTAATCCTAGCACTTGGGGAGGCAGAGGCCGGAGGATCGCTTGAGCCCAGGAGTTTGAGACCTGCCTGGGCAGTAGCGAGACCCCATTCTCCAGAAAAGGGAAAAAAAAGATGAAATGGTGCAAAAATAGGATTGCCTGTGTGTGTGTATGTGTGCGAGTGTGTATGTGTATATGTGAGTGTGAGGGTGTGTGTTGAGAGTGTATGCATATGTGCATCTGTGTGTGTGTGCTTGAAAGCATGAATGTGACTGTGTAATATACCCTAAAGGCCTTGTTGTTATTCTGTTTCCTAGCACTGTAACTTCTCCTGCCCTATCCCTGGCTCTTAAATGCACAATTATAATGTTAAATTGATGATATATATTTGGTATTTTTAATTCCTAATTTGATATCATTTTAAATTGGAAAAAAAGAAAAGTGGGATTTCTACAAATACTCTAAATGAAAATAGTGAAATTCTCCACTTCATACTAGAGATGTACTCATATTTCTAAAAAGGTTTGTGCAAAAGTCCTCTCAACAACCTGGGCAACATAGTGAGACCCTATCTCTACAAAAATTAAAAAATTGGCCAGGCATGGTGGCTCACACCTGTAATCTCAGCACTTTGGGAGGCTGAGGTGAGTGGATCACCTGAGGTCAGGAGTTCGAGACCAGCCTGGCCAACGTGGCGAAACCCCGTCTCTACTAAAAATACAAAAAAATAGCTGGGTGTGGTGGCGTGCACCTGTAATCCCAGCTACTTGGGAAGCTGAGGCAGGAGAATCACTTGAACCTGGGAGGCAGAGGTTGCTGTGAGCCGAGATCGAGTCACTGCTCTCTAGCCTGGGCAACAGGAGCGAAACTCCGTCTCAGTAAAAAAAAAAAGCCAGACATGGTGGCATGTAACTGTAGTCCCAGCTACTCAGGAGGATCACTGGAACCCGGGAGGTTGAGGCTGCTAGCCATGATCATGTCACTGCACTCCAGCCTGGATGACAGAATGAGACCCTGTCTCAAAAAAAAAAAAGTCCTCTCAACCCAAGCATGTCATGAACAAGCTCTACCAGGTATGCAGAACACATAGCTATTATCATTAATTTTTAGGCCCATCTGAGTTTAACTTATCTGAGTTATATTTGCCATAAAAATTTTGATGCATTAAATAAATATTTAGTGAGTATGATACTATGTGCATGATAATGTGTAGCATAGCTCCTGCCTTCCAATAAGGGAGCTAAGTCATACACAGATGACTAAAACATTGAGTAGTCAGTAATAAGAGTCATAGAAGAGAGATCCCAATAAAGTTCAGAGATGGGATCAAAGAACACCTTTTGGATGAAGCAACATTTGAATAGAACCATGAGAAATATGTCTAAAAACATTTAGAGCGCCCACAACCAATCAATTTTTTTTTTTTTTTGAGACAGGGTCTTACTCTGTCACCCCAGCTGGAGTGCAGTGGTGCAGTCTTGGCTCACTGCAACCTCTGCCTCCTGGGCTCAGGTGATCCTCCTGCCTCAGCCTCCCAAGTAGCTGGGACTACAGATATGCGCCACCAGGCCTGGCTAATTTTTGGATTTTTTTTATTATTATACTTTAAGTTCTAGGGTACATGTGCACAACATGCAGGTTTGTTACGTATGTATACACGTGCCATGTTGGTGTGCTGCACTCATTGACTCGTCATTTACATTAGGTATATCTCTTGATGCTATCGGGTTTCACCATGTTGGCCAGGCTGGTCTCGAACTCCCGACCTCAAGTGACCCAACGGCCTCAGCCTGCCAAAGTCCTGGGCTTACAGGTGTGAGCCACCGCACCTGGCCAACTATTCATTCTTGTTTCTCTTTTTCTTTTTCTTTCTTTTTTTTTTTTAATTGAGATGGAGTCACTCTGTCACCCAGGCTGGAGTGCAGTGGCGCGATCTTGGCTCACCACAACCTCCGCCTCCCGGGTTCAAGCAATTCTGCTGCCTCAGCCTCCCAAGTAGCTGGAACTACAGGTGCATGCCACCATGCCTGGCTAACTTTTGTATTTTTAGTAGAGATAGGTTTTCACCATGTTGGCCAGGCTGGTCTGGAACTCCTGACTTCAGGTGATCCACCCACCTCAGCCTCCCAAAGTTGTGGGATTACAGGTGTGAGCCACCACACCTGGCCAACTAATCGTTCTTAATTGTTTTTTCCTCACAGTATCGCAGTTTTTTCGATGAGGCCCCTGCATTTTCTGGCGGCAGAAATAACAGCTGGCGCAAATTAAATCTTGAAAGTATTCCCAGGACAATGCTAATGTATGACATAGTTCATTATTCAGAGTCTGGAGTAATCTCAAACCGTCTACGAAATGAAATGAAGTTTCTATTACAGAGACCAGTAACGCAAGAGATCCATAAGCACCAGCTACGGATTGTTTCTGAAAACAGGTAAAACAGATTCTTCACTGGGGTTACAATACTAGGGGTATATCTGAAAATGTTCACATTCTGCCAGATAGCTCACTAAAGATAATAGGATATATGGGAAAAATAGAGTTGGGGCAGATTGCTCAAAACATATGCAACTTTGTAAACACAGCACCAACAAAAAGGACAATTTGTACTTGGGGAGATGACTTGTACCACCAGACAGGCAACTCAGTGTAGCTGGAGGCTGCCACAGAAAATATAAAAAATGAACAACCATCGAGTGGAGATGCTGGCAACTCTTTCATTAGAGCAGTCAGTGGGCATGGAGACAGTGCACATGGAAGTGGGACCCTGGGCCAGCGTGGTTGCCTTTTTTTGTTGTTGTTTTTTGAGATGGAGTCTCACTCTGTTCCCCAGGCTAGAGTGCAATGGCGCAATCTCGGCTCACTGCAACCTCCGACTCCCGGGTTCAAGCGATTCTCCTGCCTCAGCCTCCCGAGTAGCTGGTATTACAGGGGCCCGCCAGCATGCCCGGCTAATTTTTGTATTTTTAGTAGAGACTGGTTTTCACCATATTGGCCAGGCTGGTCTCGAACTCCTGATCTTGTGATCCGCCCACCTCAGCCTCCAACAGTGCTGGGATTACAAGTGTGAGCCACAGTGCCTGGCTGCATGGTTGCCTTTTAAGTGGACATGAGAGGCAGTGCGATCTGCCAAGAACCAGGAGCCATCCAAGGCCGGAGTGGGGGTAGGGGAGGAGTAGGGTGAAGGGCAGCGAGGGTGAGTTGGGGGTGGGGTGTGCCTCTCTGGGAAGGCAGCACTTGATGCGGGTGCTCATTTTTGTTTTCATGAATACAGCCAAAAGGGCTACCCTTGCCCATGCAGCACAGAACTAAGGGCTTTTTCCTTTTTTTGCTGAAGGTTATAATTCTATTCTTGCTACTCTGGCTCCCCTTGCCTAAGATAAATTGCATATAAATTAGAGTGACGTCATTCCCCTTTTTACCAATAGCATGTGAGCCAGTTCACATTGTAGAAATGGATGTTGTAGCAAAATAGATGTATTATGATCTGAAACAACATGGACAGAATATAACCGCTCCCATTATATTCCTTTTCTCTTTCCATTACTAAGCCTCACTTAGCCCATCTTATTTACAAATTAGCTGCTTACTTAAAAGAAGAAAGAGATAATAATATGTAAGAGGACCTACTGGTAATCTATTTTCACACTCTTATAATTAAAATGAAAAATACTCCCTTTGTGCCTGAAGAAGACACTGATGACCCACTGTCAAGAAAACACGCTGGGTTTTTTTTTCAGGAGTAGAGATGAGTGATTCTGACCCAATAACATAATTTAACCCATATATTTTATGATCAAGGCTATACATTTGCCAGACAGATGGCCTGGTTTAGGGCACAGTCTGTCATGAAATAGATTTTCTCTAACTCATCCATATGAGCACTGAGTATAGAATTTAACCCTATTACCACCAAGGTCAAATAAATGATGTAATTTTCTCTGCCACCATATATAACTCCAATCTCCCTGCTATTTGGATTTATCCTACTGAGTATCCAAGAATAAGTCATTTCAGAGCCAAATAAGTAGCCGAATTATTAATCAATTGAAAAGAAAAAATACTTTCATAAAGCCATCTTTGAATGCAGTTGTAGTTTAGCATCTCCCAGAAGCAAACCCTGAGACAGAGATTTGGGAGGTGATCTCAGGAACAACTGAAGGGAGAGGGTAGAAAAGTGGAAGGCAGCCAAAACAGTGTGTGTTAGCAAGCAAGTTACCACTGTGGGTAACTGGAGCTTAATCCCCCCTGGGAATGTGAGATTCAATGTAGAACATGCAACTTAGAATTATCCCACAAGGGACAAGGGAATTACAGTATTGATACATCAACACCCATCAGTCATTGGTTAAGGGTTGCTTAGGAAGGGACATATTAATTCTCAGGCACTTTTGACCTTCCCTGCACATGGGCTTTTTTCTTTTCTTTCTTTTTTTTTTAGACCGAGTTTCGCTCTTGTTGCCCAGGCTGGAGTGCAATGGTGCGATCTCAGCTCACCACAACCTCTGCCTCCCAGGTTCAAGTGATTCTCCCGCCTCAGTCTTCCTGAGTAGCTGGGATTACAGGCATGCGCCACCACGCCTGGCTAATTTTGTATTTTTAATAGAGACAGGGTTTCTCCATGCTGATCAGGTTGGTCTCTAACTCCTGAACTCAGATGATCCGCCCGCCTCGGCCTCCCAAAGTCCTGGGATTACAGGCGTGAGCTACCGCGCCGGCGGGCTTTTCTTTTCAAAGAAAGTTTTCAGACTGAGTGATGCAGATGCTGGCAGTTGAAAGTTGAGTCTATGTGCCTTATAATAGTAAGGACAGGGGGCATAGCATCTGATCCCAGCACTGACAAAAACAGCTTGTCTGTCCAACCATTATGAAATGTAATACTTTTTTTTTTTTTTTTTTTTTTTGAGACGGAGTCTCGCTCTGTCACCCAGGCTGGAGTGCAGTGGCGTGATCTCTGCTCACTGCAAGCTCTGCCTCCCGGGTTCACGCCATTCTCCTGCCTCAGCCTCCCAAGTAGCTGGGACTACAGGCGCCCGCCTCCACGCCTGGCTAATTTTTTGTATTTTCGGTAGAGACGGGGTTTCACCGTGTTAGCCAGGATGGTCTCGATCTCCTGACCTCGTGATCCACCCGCCTC